AGAAGAAATGAGGATCTGTTTATCACACATTCGGCCAAACATTGAAGAAATCACGAAAAAAACACCAGCCACATGTTTGACACTAAATGAGCTGCACAAATAGTTGAATACAAATATTGAAATAAAGCTCATACTTATGTGTGTATTATAAAAAAAATCTATGGTTTTATTTCATAACATTTAAATGTAGACAATTTAAAAGATTTTACTAAGTGTGCCGTGATATATTCATTTGCTTCTATGTGTGCCGTGGCTTAATCAAGGTGAGAAACACTGCTCTAGACAAATCAAAATGGCGTAACTGAAATTAAGATGAAAAACATACTAGACAATAATTAATAACGATTGATAATCTATTAAGATTTCATTATATTAAAACTAATATTTCCAACCACCGTAAGAGTTGCCTCCCTTTTCTCTAAATACTTCCATGGCAACTGTTCATATGAATTAGATTGGCAAAAAGATGTCATCATTTTGCAATTGAATTGTTTAGATGTAACCATAAGTTCTATGCTGACAGTTTCTTTTCTCACCTATGGAACTCTTTTCATTAGTTTTATTGCAATTTTATACTTCTTATTTATATGAATTAGGTTTCTCAAGCCTAAATAACATCACAAATAAGAAGCGAGAAAGATTTCACTCAACTGAAGAAGAAATGAGGATCTGCTCATTACACATTCGACTAAACATTGAAGAAATCGAGAAAAAATACTAGCCACATGTCTCACGTTAAATAAACTGCAGAAATATTTGAATAAGTTCATATTTGTGAGTGTAATTTTTAATTTATGGTTTTATTTCATAACATTTAAAGGAATAACGTTTAAAATATTTGCTCAGTGTGCTGTAATATTTTCATTTACTCCTTGGTTTGTCATTGCTTAAAAAGGTTGAGAAACACTGATCTACAATATTAAAACATGTTAGAACAACATATTAAACTTAATCAATCTGGTGAATTAGTGTCGCAATTGCGTGAAATTCAATTTCTTGATCATGCTTATAGAATTGTCTGCTATATGCAGGCGTTGTTAAAATAGGCTTTAAGCTGATATTTCTTCATCTGAATCAAGAACGTAACTTCCTTATAACATTGTCACATTTGGACGGACCTGACGTTGCAATTTGTGGTGGAAAATGACATTTTAATTGAATCTTATTGGGTCCTGATCATAAGGTACAATATGGAAGTCGATATTGAAAATTCAACCCTTAATTAGATTGTAATTGAACAGCAGTTACTAACGGATGTTCTCAGTGAACCACGTCAGCGAATTGCTTCTCAACTGCCGCGCCACACTAGTGTGTCGCGCGATCCTCTTAAGTGTGCCGCTAAATATTCTTTTCTCACCTATGGAACTCTCTTTCGGATTCTTGCTTATGGTCTCAAGTTAGAAGTTTTCAATAAATTAATTGTCAATGAGAATTTCTGAATAAATTATAGGAGTTAAAGAATGTTTTAAATGGTTGGATTTGTTTTACGGCATATCAACCTCAATGGGTTATTTAATGCCGACAAAATTTTGTTGCTGGAATTATTGTTTTTGAAAGTGTTTCTGGAAATATTTTTCCAAAAATGAAACCTATTTTACACGTTTTGACCCCACTTTGGGGGTAAACTATTTGCCCATAGCCGGGACCCTAACAGGTGCTACCACCCCGTGTCACTAAGGAACACTAGCAATTAGGAGGTGGTTCCAGGCTCCTCAAAAACTCCTGATCAGAGGCCTTGCTGTCGGCTTTAGTTTATCGACTTATCCAGGACACGGATGTAGTTTATCGTCATACCCTGGAGGGGTGGGGAGTTAAAGAGGATTTATAAATATATTTGTGGTGATATTTAAATGACTGTAATTAACATAAAGACACAGAGATTATATATATGATCGGGTATTAAGGGGAGGTACAGAATCGGAAACTCGAATCTTGCGTGTCGAGCTTGAGTTTATAGTATCTCGTTTATTGTTTCTCCGTTTTGTTTCTGTCTTCGGATAAAGCGCAGGACAAACATTAGAAGGTGCCCGGTCCCGGGTGAACAGTTGTCCGCGGAAGAACCTCCCTCATTTCCCTAAAGATTTGCGGTCGGTAGGTTACGGGTGCTAGGCTAATCAGGATCATGGCCCTGATGCACGCATTCGGGCTCCTCACATGAAACCTACTTTGTGACATATTCTAGCTGGGTGGAATGGCAGGTAGATATCGATTACCACACGAGATATTAACGACAACCGGTGGTCTGAGAAAATAAAAAGACAATCATATTTCATAATATTATTCGTAGAAATATAAGTCTTTTAATAAATGAAGCCTAAATTAGGATTTCTGGTGAATTATAGTCTGAAATGATTATTTTCTCACATATTATTAGATAAGCTTGGGAAACTCCAGGCGGTGTAATGGTTAGCAAGCTTGTGTCGCTAGAACGATTGCGACTGAGTATTTAGCTCGAAACTCACTGGGTTCTCCATACTTTCGGCCTTGAGCCACATCTAAGCTACGCTTGAAAAATCGCCATAAGTATCTGTGAAAAGAGGTAGCAGCAGAAGTTAGGTTGTTATGAGCACTTCGACGTGATGTAATATTTATCTAGCTTGTCTCGCTAGAACATTTAAGACGGACAAGTGAGTTCGATCCTCACTGGGTGCCCTATACATTCGGCCATGTGCCACATCTAAGATACGCTTGAAAAATCAGAATAAGTATGTGGGAAAAGAGGTAGCAGCAGAAGTTAGGTTGCTATGGGCACTTCGACGTGATGTAATGTTTAGCAAGCTTGTCTCGCTAGAACAGTCAGTACGATCCTCACTGAGTGCCCTCTTCTTTTGGCCTTGTGCCACATCTAAGCAACACTTGGAAAATCACTATAAGTATGTGTGAAAAGAGGTAGCAGCAGAAGTTAGATTGCTATGGGTACTTCGACGTGATGTAATGTTTAGCAAGCTTGTCTCGCTAGAGTAGTCAGTTCGATCCACACTGGGTGCCCTCTTCTTTTGGCCTTGTGCCACATCTAAGCTACGCTTGGAAAATCATTATAACTATGTGTGAAAAGAGGTAGCAGCATGCTACCGGACCCGCAATAAGATTGGTGACCCCGACGTGATGCGACGTGATGTTTTGAGGAACACTATTTCGGGTCAGATTTTAAATCTAAATGTGCATAAATTTGATAGCCAGCATGACGTCTGGTGAAGCCGGAGAGTTTTCCGAGACCTTTTACTATGCTTTCGTTAAATGTCTATCGACATTTAATCCGCGAAAGGGCTCTGTGGAATCGTGAATTCCACCCTTTTGCGTGTGTGCGCGCGCGCGCGGATTGCACCCCTTTCTACCACTTTCGACTAGACATAGCAGTAAGCCATCCTTTTGTGGCCGACGGTGTTGGCTACTCCTGATGCCGTCTAAAATCAGAATTTTAATTTTTTCCCGCGCGTGCATGACGTCACAGACGAACAACGTTTTCAAGTTAGTTGCGGCCCGATTTTCAAGCTAGCAGGTCAACTCATTTATTCCGTGCCCCTAACCCATACGCGGGCCGGAATATCTTATTCTTAACTAACCAAAACTTCAACATGTCGATATCACATTTTTCCAAGACTCATCCTCGTCTTGATGCAAACAGCATGTTGATCTTTCCTCCGTTTTCAGCTAGAAAATGTAGAGTTCTACGACACCGTCGTCAATATATTTTTCCAAGACTCATCCTCGTCTTGATGCAAACAGCATGTCGAACTTTCATCCGTTTTCAGCTAGAAAATGTATTGTTCTACGACACCGTCGTCAATATATTTTTCCAAGACCAACTTCTCGTCTTGATGCGAACAGCTTTCGAACTTTCCTCTATTCACTACCAGAGTTCTACAACACGGTCGCTCTCATGCCATTCCAAGACTAATTTCCTCGTCTTGATGCGAACAACTCTGAATTTTCCTTCACTGAAGAAGATTGATGAACTGTTCATACACATTTGAAACTTCTAATCCTTACGAACCAGTACCTTAAAGATAGCATTACACACACATTATTAAACCTCGCAGTGAGTATTTTTCCTTGTTGTGTATGCTTACATCTTTCGTTCAACAAGACATTTTTCCAGAACTTTCTTCCTGAAGTATTTTCCCGCCTTAGCCATCTTGTTTTTCTGTTTTGGCGCGGAACACTGTCATTCCTTCAGTGACCACTTGTCACAACCTTTTCATTAATTGCAAAGATCCAGTAACTTTACTGATGGTCTCCACTGTCGAGACAATTTACTAGTTTAAAAATAATAAAAGTTTATATTTGTTCGTTTACCAGACTCATTTTGTCGTTTAATCCTGGCTATCTATATCTTAATACTTTTGTGCATATGTTAAATGACCCTTTTTCCTCACTAAAGATCACATTTAATATTCTTACTTTGTGGATTCGGTAGTCATAAGTAGTGTCTGGCACAAGGCCACCTTTTAATAAACCAGCACTGCATGCTACCGGACCCGCAATAATGTAATGGTTAGCTTGCTTCTCTCGCTAGAACAATTACGGCTGAGTATTGAATTCGATCCTCACTGTGTGCCCCATACTTTCGGCCTTGTGTCACATCTAAGCTACGCTTGGAAAATCACTATTATTAGAGAGGCTATTTTTGAATAAATGTGAAATTCAAATGGAAATAACTTAATATATTTTATGATAAAAAATTTAATGATTACATTATTGTTACAAATAAAAGAGTTTGAATAAATTTTAATTGATTGCTTCATTGTTCACGGCTTATCAACCTTTTGCAGGTTATTTAAAGCCGGGAAATTTTTTAGATTGCAACAATTTTTGTTTGAGATAATAATAATTTAGTGATACAAATCTTACTAATTTACCCATTGCTTGGGGAGAAGAGGTGGATTTATACCTCTCCCAAGGGCATTTGCGCATAAGGAAATATAATGAATCCAACGCAAATTAGAACTCGGTTCTCCGATTAACAATTCCGAGCCATTATGCGTTACACCACCCGCATATCCAACACCTAGTATTCCAAAGTGGTCACCCATCTTGGTACTGACCAGGTTCGACCTTGTTTAATTTCGGTGATAATACGTGAACCGGTGTTTGGAAGTGACGTGACCGTACGCTTTGAATAAATTAGTCTTAACTGAGTATATCTGAATAAATTATAGGATCAAGTACGTTTTTCTGTATAAATTATAGGCTTAAATAATGACGCCTATATATTTGTTGTTTATAGAAAGCAGCTAGAAAAAATGAAAAAAAAAAACTTGGAATATTTTTTTTTCTTTTGATTTTCGTTATCTGAGAATCCCAAACCGCCACATGAAAATATCCAAGTAGACATGTTAAGATCAGTAGAAAAATTCCATAAGTCTTTATTACGTTCCCCTAGTGCTGAAATCGACCTGAGTAGGGTTGTCAAAGAATTTGGCCTGGCAACAGCCCATCGGGAACAACCAAACTTAAACGATACGATAACCTTATGCCCGTTTCGCCAAACGCCTCCACACAATCCACAAATCTTCGAAAAGTAAGAGATTGATTCCATTTTCTCGCTTTATGGCAGCAGAAAATGATGAATATATAGGTGTTAATCCCCCATGGTCGCCGAAATGAGGAGGGGGACTGGAGAAAGTGATGTTCGCCATTAGATCATCTCGTGAGACTGAACGAACGATCGAGTAAAACAGGCAGCCTCGTTCTCGCCTTCCTCTGTGGCCATATTGTAACTGCAGACGTCTGCAGTTTCTCAAATCTTCTTAACAGACGGCGAAGTTAAATGTGTTGGCTTTAAGTCAAGGGTTAGGTCCGAAGTGCCTATCTTTGAAATAAAGCTTATGGTATATAAGAGTTAGCATTTACGAATCAAATTGTAGTTTGAGGAAAAAGCAAACAAACTAGGACCTGTAAGTACAGGCAACATTTTGTAAATTAAAAAAAAATGTAACTAAAAACCTATCGTTATAGTTCATTAATATTTGAAGAACAGTGAATTCTAAGTAAATAACTATTGGCTTCGCAGATAAAAAATGTCTTCCAGTGAATAAAAGAAGACCATATCTATTTGAACTTTATAGACAGGCGCTACAGAATCACAAAAGTGTACCAAATAACAACATCCCTGGAGGACATTCATCAGCAGCATCTACTCAAATGGATAACACATGTAACACCAAGAGATAATATTGATATAATCCAATTGTTGACGTTCCAGACTACGAACATGTTAGAATTAAAGCCGCCATTAGTACTGAAAAGAACAGTAAGAGTTAGTGTACTTGGGAAACCTATTTTCTGAAAAAAATGGTTTAATAGAAACATTTTATAAATTTTGAAAAACAGTAGAGCTGGCTGCTCGGTCAATGAATGCTAAAAGTTTCCTTATAAGGAAACAACTTATGTTAACATCACTATCAAGTTTTAAATTTATTTAAATTCAATTTTGACTTAAAATGTGACATCGAAATGAAAAGGCCCCTGGGAATAGCGAAAGCTGCTTTTCAAAAACTAAGCAAATTATTCAGAAACAAGAAAATTTTGTTAGAAACTAAGAAAGGGCTAATGGTCAATTATGTAGTTCTGAAAGTGAATACTGGACTGTTATTGTAGCATGACAGGGAATTCTGGACAATCTCCTCATGGATGAAGAAAAGTCTTGAGGCGTTACAAATGTGGCACTACAGAAGGATGCTGAGTATACCATGGACTGAAAATGTAAGCAACGACAATTTTTTAGAGAAAATGGTAAAAATGGACACTTATACTTGACCTAAGAAATGGACTGTTGAAATTTCTAGGACACATAATGAGGAAAGAAGCTTGGAAAATTTGACACTCACAGGAAATATTAAAGGCGATAGTATATAGAAAAGCAGCTCATAACCTTCCTAACGAGTCTGGTAAAAAATACATTGTAAAACACTACAAAGGTCAGGAAATCGTGGAGAGTCATGATCACCAACTCGCGGAAGGAACACAACACATACAAGATGTAGAAGGTAAAAATTTAAATTTTCAGCTTGGTTCAAATTACATATATCAATTATAAGTTTTTTTATACTATAGTTCACAAAGACCAAGAAGGATAAAAGGCTTCACATCAATCTGATTAAGGTTGATGTAAAGGCGGCAAAAAAGAAATGCAAAGTGTATATTATGAGTATATGTAGGATAGATAAGGGTTCAGTTCGACATTCCAACCACCTGAAGAAGGCCGGCGTGTACAACGACCGAAACGTTGTAATAAATATGGCGACATCTCAGAAATATAGACAGATACTGAAGGGCCGAAACTTCGTGATGAATATGGCAACAAAGATGAGGACAATAATCCGAAAAATGTAAATAGTGTACATAATACCTCATCTCAGATATATATATATATATATATATATGTGTGTGTGTGTGTGTGTGTGATATAAATATAGAAATATAGACAGTATATGTCTATATTTCTGAGATGAGGTATTATGTACACTATTTACATTATTCGGATTATTGTCCTCATCTTTGTCGCCATATTGATCACAACGTTTCAGCTGTTGTACCTTCTTTAGGTTGTTGGAATGTCAAACTGAGCCCTTTATTTCGCTCACTTGGGTAGACTGTTCTAGTTCCACGTGTCATGTCTAATGGATGTCAGTTGTCAGTTATCACCTACCTTAACCGGGTATTGGACTCACGCTCTAAATAAGCAGTAGTTTCTGCCAAATTCCTCCCCAGAGTGATTCTTCATCCTGACTCGTCAATTCCGATCAATCGTAGGTGGTCTTCCTCGAATTTGAGACCTCCCAATTTCGCCAGCCAAGCACTTTTAGGGATTCTTCAATTTTCAGTAGCATCGCATTTCTCATACCATGTCGTGTCGGTGACATCATTAGCTTGACAATGCTCAACTTTTGAGCTATTGTTTCAAATCATGTTTCAAATAATGGTCACCTTTTTCGGAATTAAATAGCCATGACAGCTGTGAGTGAATAATACTCTGTTCTAACCAAGGAAATTGATATTTCTAATTTTATTCTTTTCAAACTATTTAGCGTAGCTTTTTCGTTTTCGAAAATCAGCAATTTTCTTAGGTTTTCTATATTCTCCGATGTTATTTAGTTAAACTTGTAGCAAACAGACGATCATGGTCCTTCACAGTTTCCTGAGAATTGCCATGACTTCTTGTGGAAAAGAATGGAGTGGTTTCCCGTTGCTTTTTTCTGCATTTGTAAATTCAGAGTTTTTATATTCATTGACTGGTTAGGAACAAAATGTGATATTCACGTACTTTTCTCAAGGGAATTTGTACGAAAGGAAACGCAACTGACTAGGCCGAGGTTTGAAATCGACTCATCCGATCCACTTTCTGCGAGGATAACCGTCACACTATTGGTACGCTGTTACGAATCTTATTTTGAAAAAAAAATTTAAAAAAAATAAACCAAAACTATTTTAAATATTTTAGCAATAAACCATTTTACTTTACGCACATAAGATTGTATATTTAGTTTCAATGTAGGTATTACAGGAACGTTTGTGATCGAACACTTTCAAACATACTTGTAGACATTTTCAAGATGGTCTGTTATGTAGATGTCTTTCACATCTTCAAATATTTTTTTTTTAAATCAACGTTCGCCTTTATTGACAGCACATCAGCTAGGTCTTCTTCGTTATGTGTCGCGTCCCCTCAGGACGTAGGCGATCATGGCTAATCACAACTACCTCTGTTTTGTAGCTCTTAAATTATCTTAAGGTTATCCATCCTAAACCGTGTTGCGCCATCCATTAACCCAAGTTCACTAAGCATGATATACGTTGTTTTCCTCTGTCCTGTACCAGATTTTCCAAGCCTTCTTTCCACATTATGTGGTCAGCTAAATGTTAAGCGAAATTATTCATTATTTAAATGTATCGACAATTTTTAAAATTAATTTCAACAGCAATTCCAGCTTTTATATTGCTTGATGTTTTAATTTCTGTCTATATATTTGGGATGAGGTATTATGATTACTTGCATTATTTATATTATTCGGACTTATCGTCATCTTCATTGCCATATTCACAACGTTTCGGCCTCTATATCTCTGAGATGAGGTATTATGGTTATTGCATTATTTACATTATTCAAACTGTTATCGTCATCTTCATTGCCATATTCACAACGTTTCGGCCTCTATATCTCTGAGATGAGGTATTATGGTTACTTGCATTATTTACATTATTCGAACTGTTATCGTCATCTTCATTGCCATATTCACAACGTTTCGGCCTCTATATCTCTGAGATGAGGTATTATGGTTACTTGCATTATTTACATTATTCGAACTGTTATCGTCATCTTCATTGCCATATTCACAACGTTTCGGCCTCTATATCTCTGAGATGAGGTATTATGATTACTTGCATTATTTACATTATTCGGACTCTTATCGTCATCTTCATTACAATATTCACAACGTTTCGGCCTCTATATCTCTGAGATGAGGTATTATGGTTACTTGCATTATTTACATTATTCAAACTGTTATCGTCATCTTCATTGCCATATTCACAACGTTTAGGCCTCTATATTTCTGAGATGAGGTATTATGATTACTTGAATCATTTATATTATTCGGACTGTTATCATTATTTACATTATTCGGACTCTTATTTACTGTCATACTTTCAATATTTCTGGCCGTTACTTGCACGCTCCGGCCTTCTTCAGGTGATTGGAATTTCAAACCGATACCTCTTCAGTAAGTTGATTATCATGGCTCTCCCTATCTTCCTACACTTTCATAACTCTACTTAATATTTACTTCCTTCATATTCTTTCTACTTGTTTCACTATTCATTTTCACAGTATGCAAATATCTATCTATCTATCTATCTATCTATCTATCTATCTATCTATCTATCTGTCTCTCTATCTATCTATCTATCTATCTATCTATCTTCATATCAACTGAAGTCTGTTCAGTTCGAGTTTTTCATTTTCTTTCTCTCTCTCTCTCTCTCTCTCTCTCTCTCTCAATCTGTGTGTGTGTGTATGTGTGTGTGTGCGTATGTGTGTGTGTGTGTGTGTGTGTTTATATAACATTTTGTTAATAAGTATCTATGTCATACTGAACATATGTGCCGGTT